ATAACAAGATTAATAAAAATCTCTCTATATGTAATAGGTTTGTCTTTAATTGATATGTTAAATTAATTTTGCTCCTTATATTTGATCTGATATCCAAGCATAGTAATGCAAACAAATAACTAACTCTTGTGTCACATTTTAGGAGATATGTTTTGCACTCATGTTTAGTGTACGGTAAAATCGGAGGGTCAGTCTTTTGAAGAGAAAGCTTAAATATTTAAGTTACTACTGTGTTGATGAATGTTCACTGTAATTAAAAAAACCTGTTCTTTACATTAAGTACCTTTTGGAAAGAAAGCAAAAAAGTCTTGACCTAGAATACCCTACATCACTTAATGTACAGAAGGATTAATCTAAAAAGAGCATAAAATTAAATCAATTTCATTGAGTCCTTTTATTTTCTTTCCACCAGAGGTTGATGAAAAGACATTGTTTCTTACTCTGTATCCTCCTGATTTATTTTTTCTCTTTTGAGCGTCTGCATCATCCAGTAGCTAGTTACGTCACTTGAGTTTGTTCTTAGCCGTCCTACCTTCGGGCTTCTCACCCTTGCAGCCACGTCCACCTGCTGTGTGTACAGAGGCTCAGACTGCTTTTCAGTCTACATAAAAAATGATAGAAATTAAATCCTTTACTGTGACCTTTCTTCAGTATATGTTGAAAAGTATGTGGATTTATCATAGATTAGTCCTGGTTCTTTCTTTTTTGTTTGTTTTTGGTTTTTGGCTTTCATACCAGTTTTACCATGTACACATTTTAGAGCTCCAAGCAGTTTTCAGTTTTTACTAAAAGTAGAAGACTTTTGCCTTCATCCCTCATTTTCACAGAGGTAACCACTCATACCTGGTTTGGCTAATTATTTTATAGTTTTCCTCCTAGATCTCTAATTAACATGCTTATATTCCTTTATCTTGATTATTCAGGTTTGAACATTATCTTTTGCATTCCTACTATGGAAAATGAGACTTTAGCTCTCTTTCCATGCCCTACCTACCTAGCTGGCCAAAAGGAGCTCCCGTCTCATTCCCCCAATATTGATATATCATAATGCCTGTTAGAAAATAGGCAGCATGAACAGTGTTGATCTGTGACAGCACTATATACAACCAAACCATGCTGCAGATGATGTTTAACTTCCTTTCCTAGACAGCTTTTGTTTTCCTTAGGGGTAATTATTATTTTTTTATTTGCCAACTCTCTATTATCACTAATAATCTTCATGCCCTTTGCCAGCAATTAAGTGACCTCTGAGTATGTTCAGAATTGTTAGAACTTAGCATCACTTCATCTTCTGGAAGAAATCTCTCCCAATTCCTGCTGACCTACTTGGTGTCCATTGTCATCCTGCGATCTGCATTCACCTTGTTCCTGGGAGTTCCTTCATCTCCCTGCTATGTGCAGTTTCCTGTGTCCTGTCCCCTACCCCTGGGTCTGTCTCTTCTGACTGAGGCTCTCCTTTTGGTGTAGAGTCTTTTCTCCCATAGCTTCCAGAGAAAAGGTGCATAGAAGGGTTTTTTGAGATATAGATGTCTGAAAGTCTTTATCTACCCTGCCATCTATTATAATTTGGCTAGTGAGAATTCCAGATTGGAAATTATTTACTTCAGAATTTAGAAAGCATCATCCATTCCCTCTAATTCTCAGTGTTTCTGTAGAAAATTCTGAAGCCATTATAATTCCTGGTTTCTCTCTCCCTGGAAGTTTTTAGAATCTTTCCTTTTTCTCTACTATTCTAAAATTTTGTAATGAAGCAACTTAGGTGTGAGTCTGTTTTATCCATTGTGCTGAGCTCTTTTGGGGGCTCTGTCCCATCTGTAAACTCCTGTGTTTTTAGTTACGTCATTGCCATTCCTTCTGCTTTGCATGCTCTGTACGTTTGGAACTCCCTATTAAGTTTTCTTTTTTCTATATAATCTCTCTTTTCTGTCTTCTTCTCTATTTGTTTTAGTCTCCATTTTCTGTTGATGGGCTTTCCTTGGGCATCTGATAATCTTGGATATCTGTTCTATTTAAGACTGAGAGACTCAAAGCAGATTGACAGCCCTGAGCATATGAGTGGAGCTTGTCAGCTGATAGCTTTACTGTGCAAGGGGACTTGTGGGGATTATTTTGTGGGCTTCTTTTCTGGGGCTTGTCAAATTCCCTAGAGAAGAATCTTCTGATCTCTTGCCTGGAGGTGAAGACCCAACTGCCAAGTGTTTTGTAGCAAAGTAGGGGAAGAAAACTGGGGTCTCAGAATTTAGTTTGCACAATTTCACTTAATCCTTCAGGTTTTCAGTAGAGAACCCTTGCCCGCAAATAGGCTTGGTCTCTGCCAATTCAGAATCTTTCTAATTTATCCTCTGCAGAGGCTAAACATCCAGGTTTTTGCAAGGGTTGGGAGGAGTGGCTTGGCTGTACAGAAATTAGTGAGTGGCAGGCAGAATCTGGGAATCTAACTGCTTCCTAGAAACTTTTCAAACAATCCTCCTTCATCCTCACTTTCAGGGTTCCTGGTAGTAAACTTCCTCAGCCTTTGGCAGTTCAGTGTCTGGACTGGGGAAATATTCAGCTTTCCCCACTCACCACTTAGAATTCAGGATTCTCAAGCTTAATACATTTGTCATTCAGCCATCTGCTTTCTAGTTCCCAGGCCTTTGTCATGTATGTGTGTGCATGTAATTCCAGTTCTGTCATTCTAATGGTATTTCAAGAAGGAATAAAAAACACATCTGTGCACACAACTATTTCCTTAGAAGTCTTATCTGCCGGCCCCATTGCTACACATAGTAGATGTTAGTACTTTTCAATGGGATCAGTTTGGTTTTTCTCACATCACTAATATATGCAATAGGGATGTGTATATGAGAGTGATTTTCCTCTTAATGGTGAAGATTACATTTCTAGACAAATTAGGATTCTCGTAGGTAACTGTAATGATTATACTCTACATATATTCATCATTTATAATACTTTCTTATTTTTCTTTCCTTTCATCTTCATGGTTACACTCAGCATGGTCTTTATTAAATATTCCTGGGTCTGGGCATTTAATATCTAATCCATTGGCCAAATAGGGACCTGCCTGGTTGGAGGCAGCAGCCTAAGTGAAGTATTTAAAATGGACTCATTGGCCTGGTGGTAAGGCTGTGAGTGCCCCCACGGTGCAGGCTTCCCCAGTGTCGTGTTACCAAGCATAAGCCAGTCAGGAATTGTAAGCGGAGTTGTGTGTAATAATTATTCTATATTGTATTTTGCGTAAAATTAATATAATTTAAGCTTAATTTTAATAATAATGTGATAAAGCTAGATCATTTTGAAAATTAATGATAGGAAAAGTTATGAATTTGAATTCTATCTAATTTTTTTTAAGCACATGAGGAACATCTGGATTCTTAAACTGGAATTTTTGAACCCCTGGAAATTGTAATAAAAATTTATGCAGATATCCACGTGAGCTCTTACCACCAAAAGTTGAACCTGAATCTAGTCAAGACTTTAGAGCTAAAACATCCAGTAAATGGAAAATACAGAGGAGAAAAAGCAAGTTAAAAATCATCATGAGGAAGTAAACAAACAAATCCAGAATGTGAGGCATTCTGTAGGATGACTCATCTGCTGGTGAACAATCCAATAGCATGAGGGGAGGAACTACAGCAGCAACACAATATTCCTGGTGGTCATGGGGCTGGAGGGTGGTGCTCTAGATTTAGGAGATATGATGTGAAGACTTCATGGGGTCTTGATTCCAATAAACCAACTGGGAAAAGACATTTTTGAGACCAGAGAAAATATCTGAATTTTCACTAGATATTAGTTGATTCTGAGAAATTATTCTTAATTATGTTAGGCATGAAAATCACTTTGTAGCTATGTATAGTAGAATATGACACTCTATGATATCTAGTAATTTACTTTAAAATCTTCAGCAAAATTTTTTTTTTTTTTATTTCAGCAAAAATTTTTTAAAGAGAAAGAATCTGACGTTGGTCATTCTGTTTTTCTACTTTTGCACCTTTGAAATGTTTTTATGAAAATTTTTGTCACTCATAAATTCAAATTTATAAAGGAAATGTTCCAAAAAATATTTTCAAAATTACAAGTCATTTTCCATTTGTATGAGTCAAAAAAATTAAGCAGTGTTTTTTTTGAAAAATTGTGTCATATGACAAGTACATGTTACCATAGAAACGAAAGATTGAAAGAACCAAATCACCCAAGATACAAGGGTATGTTAGGTGGAAATGGAGGGAGGGGAATTTGTCCCTAAAAGGAGAAAGGAAGAATTTGATGACAGTTCTCCTGTGCAGGGGTTTTACAAGGACCTGTTTTAATAAGTTACATATATTTTATACATATATATATATATATAGATATATATATATATATAACCTGATGAATTTGAGTAAGTGCGTGAACTTGCTATGTGTTAATACTACATAAAGAATTTTTTCTGTAGATGATGAATCTTTGAGACTGATTATTGGCCTTTTCTGTATTATAAACTGCTTATACAGTCTTATCCACACAGAGCACTCTCAAATATTAATGATTTATCAAATTCCAGTGAATTTCACACAATAGTTGAAACCCAGCAATATGTTTTATGTAGTAAATGTCTTTTATTCACAACAATTTTACTGCAGATTAGAATTCTCTTCAAGAAAGTTTAATCTATATTCTCTGCAGTGCTATGAGGGAAAATCCTCCAAAGATATCCTGAAAAGGGTTGCTGCAAATACACTGATGTCACTTCTGGCGGTCAGTAGAAGAGCACAGAAGCATGCTTTGAAAGGTGAGCCACATGAGACGTCCGCTGTGTTTACGGCATATTGTCAATTTGTATATTTTGCTGCTTAATCATTTTAATTTTTTTGGATTCAAAACGTAAATAATTTATAATCTCAGTGTTACTAAAAAATATTTTTCCCATATAAAAACACAGTAAACATGCATTACTTTTTAAATAAAAAGATTATATATGTAGATTATTTTTTGTTTAATGTGTAATTATTCTTACTCTAGAGAATCTATATATAAATATTAGAGAAGCTAAAGAAAGTAACATATTATTCAGTTTCATGGTAATTAAATATTAGTACCCACAAGCACATACTGCATACCTGAAAAAATAACTACATAATTTTGATGGTAAAAACAACAGCATCAGATGATCCTATATTTTCATATAAATTTCCCCTTTAGAGTGTTGTAATTTTTCATCTGGGCATCAGGGAACACAGGTCTGAGAGTAGAGAGATAGTAACAGCAACATCAGTCCATTAATTTCAATTGTGGTTTGCTACTAAAACAAATTATGCTTCAAGATGTAAATTAGATTTGGGGAGTATCTTACTAAGAACTAAAAACATTTTAGTTCTTTTACTTTCCCCCCCTTAATTCATTAATCTCTCACTGAAAATGCTAAAAGGAAGTGAGTCAGAAATATAAAATGTTATCTTTTTGAGAATCTGATTATTATATGTGTTTTTAACTTATTTGGAAATGGAATATTCTTTTGACTGTGACAGACTTTATCTTTCAGCCAATCTCATAGACAACTGCATGGAGCAGATGAAGCACATTAATGCACAACTGAACCTAGATTCTCTGCGGCCTGGGAAGGCAGCACTGAAAAAGAAGGTTATTTGAATTCTGAAATTCTGGGATAATTCTGGGATAAATGGGTATATTTAGAGACTATCTCTGCAATGCCCTTGTACCTATAAATGAGCATGAGGTTGAAATGAGTCTGATTTAACAGACAGGTACAATCAGAGAAATTAATGAGGTTTCTATATTAGTAGATTGTTGGCATTCTTTTTCTTAATTCTCACTTGAAGATCTATAGATGACATTTATATATTATGCATTTTTGTTATAAACATTTGGAAATATCCACATGTGCATGATACTATACCTATTAAGTGTTTTCTGTGTGTCAGCCACTATTCAAACAATTCCTGTTTATTCTCTCATGAACAAATACCCATGACAACATGGTCAACACAGCTAGTAATTGATGAAGCTAGTGTTTGCCCCATATCTGGGGCAAATATTAGTCCTTCCATGACTTCTGAATATCTTTTATACCATTGAGTGTGCTGGACTCATGTTCAGACTGCATATTCATGTAAACTCAAAATAACATAGTTATTATATTATAACTATAGTTAATAATAACTATGGTTAGTAAGATCTGGGGCCCACTTATTCAGAAAATGAATGTGTATGCATATCTATAAATATATAAATATGTATGTGTAGGTAAGGCCGTATGGCAGCACTCTGTGTAATAACTAGTTTCTACTGCATTTAATAAGAAACCAAAACAGAGCCTTATTTAATAATCTAATTGATACAGGGGATTGATTACATGTTTGTTAGGTTTTTTTCTTGCCTCTTCTCCTTTTTCCTCTCTAGCCAAAGGCTCTTACTTCATCATTGAGAAAGTGAGCCAACACCTGATGTGATTGAAAACCTGTCAGTACCTGCCTCACTTTATTGAGATGAAACATGAAGGCTATTATATATCCGAGTTCCTCCATGCTTGATAGAACAGAAATAGCTTTTTCGTGGTGGATGCGCTTCTTGAGATATGGTCATCTTTCAGAGATTGTTAGCTTGTCAGTGCCCTCAAAGTTATGGTGGTCAGGCATGATTAGAGCACAACTGCATTGTACTGTGACCCAAAGGGGAGGGAATTACTACATGTAAAAAGTGGAGTATGCTGTTGTGTTCACATATTTCAACTTCTTTTTGTTTAAACAGGAGGATGGTATTATTAAGGAGTTAAGCATTGCCATGCAGCTCCTAAGAAACTGTCTTTATCAAAATGAAGAATGTAAAGTAAGTAGAGCTGCTTTTCAAAATGTGGGTAGCAGTGCAGTTTAATTTTTATATAAGATAATATAGTAGGAAAAAATAGAAAACTCTGAGTTTTATTTTTTAGATGCACAGTTGATTGGTCCTTAAACTAAGTGGTAATTCTCAAAAATGGATGTACTTAATCTTGTTATTTGTCAACATTCATTATATTTATTTTATATCAGTGTTTTAACTTTATCATTGAAATTTTAACTTCACAAACTTCAGCCTCATTCTGTACTGTTAAGCATTTTAGATGTTTCTTTCCTAGGATGGACTGAATGGCTGGGTATGTCTTCTAAGGTGGATTCTTTAAAAGGGAGTTGTCAGAACAACTCTCCAAGGAAATAAGTGGAGGTATCTGTGTCTGTAAGGAAAGAGGATGAATGTGTTTCTGCTTTGAAGTAGAAAAACTACTGCTGCCTAGTGTGACCATATACACCTAGAGGAATTTGCTTACTTTTAGTTCTACTGACTCCCTGTGGCCAGTTACAGAGCCCCTCTCTTTGAAAATCATTGAGACATTTTGCTTTGCCTGTAAGCATTGATGCTGTTGTTTTAAACCACTGTGTTAGTACTATTGTACAGGATATACTCTTTTGAACACTTTGATTTGCTTTGTCTATAGTGACACAACACTTTTGAAGCACTAGATTAACACTTTAATATGGAAATACTGTGGAAAATGAGTAAGGCAAAGATAAATTATGGAAGCTTCCTTTGCTTTTTAATGTTTTACCTTTTTCTCTTGTGGTAAAACTGAAGAACACATACTACGTCTGGAAAATGAACTGTTGAACATGTATTCCTTAAGCTATGTTAAAAAACATGACTAACAATTTACATTTCAAAACAATTTGATGGGAATCAAGTATTTACTTATACATTTTATTAAAATTCCCAGTATATGAACTTTTTGTCAAAATAAAGATGTTATTTACTAAATTTATGATTCCTTCATGCTAAATATTATCCTTGTGACTGGATGCAATTAATGTTCATCGATGGCACCTTATTCAGGGAATACTCTGGAAAACTTTATGAGTAGGATCTACCTATAAAGATTTATGAGATGCTAGCCTGGCTACTAGTTATAAACATAGTGCCATTTGTACCATATTAGTCACTTATAAAAGTGTAATCTGTGAAAAAATCAAAGCATTTCTGTATTTCTAAGTTGTTTAATAAGAAGTAAATTTTAGAAAGAATATTTGTGTTACTCTTGAGTATAAATATAATCCTATGGGGGCAGAGATTCTTAATTTCTTTTCTGTTCCAGCTTCCCTGAGGTGTATGGCATGCTCTCATTACTAGTTGTTGATCACTATTGTGGTAATTCACTGGGTCACCCACTACGACCCTACCCTGTATATGCATATGTATAACATCGAGGGATTTTTATACTGGAAAGATCATAATGGCTGTGAGTTGAATTAATCAGTGGACAAAGTTAGAGGGAGGGAACTGTCATAGTCCAGGCAAGAGATGATAAGACATTAACTTGGGCAGGTAGAAAGGGGAAGGACGGTAGGGAGTACATTTCAGTTTTGAGGGGAAAGAAGAGAAATGTCGAATGACTTGGACTCCAGTTTAAGCTGCTAACCAATGTTAAGAGTGCATGATAGAGCAGAGCACAGGTGTGAGAGAACCCATGCTCAGGTTTGCACATGCTACTATCAAGAGTCTTTGGGGCATCCAGGTGATAAACCACGTATAGTCAATAGATTATGAGTCTAGGGCTCTGAGGAGAAATATAGGCTGGGGATATCAGGAAGTATCAGTGTATAGATGGTTTTGTAGCCATGACTATAGTTGAAGTTTCCCAAGCGAATATATAACAAAAGCCTAAGTCATATCTTTGAAAAATATGAACATTTAAGAGAGGACAGAGAACAACTGAGAAAAGGAATGCTGGAGAGAGTTTGGAGGTGAGCCAAGATAGAGTGGCAGCATGGAAATTAAGAAAAAAAAGACTAGCAAATGCCACAGTGCCTGAGGTTTTGGCAGTTACAAAGGTAGGAGTGATCTCAATAGAATCATCAGGGCAGAAAATAAATTGAAATGAGGTGAAGACTAAATGTGAGATGGGGAAATGACAGCCATAAGAGTACTCTTCCTGGAAGCTCAATTGTGTAAAGCTGCATTAATAATTTGGGACATATAGGATTAAAGGACGTTAGTATGTTTGTTTCTCCTAACATATAGACTACTGGAATATAGAGAGAAATGAGCAAACTGGGGACTAGTTATTAAAGAAATAGGAAGAAAAGAACTAATCAGTGGATAAAGATCCCTGAGGAGGCAGGAAGGGCTGTGTTTCAGAACACAGATGGATCTATCAATCTGACAAAAAGAGGAACACCTGTTCCTTACTGCCAGGCAGACAGGAAGGATGAATGGGTGGAAATACAGATAAACTACGTGGATAGAATGGCAGAATAGATAAGGAGTTTATAGGCAATCATTTCTGTCTTCTCTGTGACACAGTAAGCAAGGTCATCTGCTGCAAATGTGGGGCTGTGTGCCAAGCTTATAGAGAGTCATGAACATGGGGAAGAACTTTGGGAAGAACATAGGGAATGACTTCAAAGCTTATGGAGAGTGTTGAACATTGGGAATAACTTCCTATCTTATTTTGCCATTTGATGCTACATAAAATTGTATAGGGTGTGTGTATTTGTGTGCAGGCACACACCTGTGCATGTGGGTCTACAAATTACCTAGTCATTCCTATTCATTTAAAAAAGATTGCTGTACTTACTGCAAATAGCTGTATTTTATCTGTAATATTGTCCCAGTGGTAACTGATCTTTATAATAAAGATTATGAGTTACTTAAGAATTTATTGATATAATATTTAGACTTAATTTTACTATGTTGAAATTACTCAGAAACAGTAATTTACTTTGGTTTATACAGAGAGAGAAAGGGAGAAGGAGAGACAGGGTAAGGGAAGGGGACTCAAAGTTGATCAGAATATTTACTTAAACAGAAAATTCTCATATGTAGCATTTACAAGAGTTTATTCAGTGTTGTGAGATATCACTTTCCTGCTAATGTACATGTTGCAGAAGCTGTTCTCTACATTTCTTCTCTAAGTAGCATATCTTAGTCACCCCAGTGCTGTAGGGACTTCCTGAGATTGGTCAGACTTGTGGTCAAGGCAGCCCTGTGTGGAGGCCAGTGGCCTGGGGCAAGGTGCTGAATCCATCCGTCAGATTCTGATGCTCACTCACACTAATCAGAACAAAGATAAATTCAGCTTTTGTCTTACGTTGATGACAACATTTTTCATTTTGATTTTAGTTGTATGTTTTTATGTATTTAGACTAATGCTGTCTTTAATTCCTTCCCGCAACAGGAAGCGGCTCTTGAAGCTCATCTTGTCCCTGTCTTGCACTCTCTCTGGCCTTGGCTTTTAATGGATGATTCGTTAATGCAAACTGCCCTGCAGCTACTTTGTGTCTATACTGCAAATTTTCCAAATGGTAAATGGAATCCAACATTGCCTTTCAATAATATGCTAAAATACTAGTTTTTATAAGTGTTGCTAAGGTGGACTGGAAAAACTAATATTTTGAAGTATTTCTGCTACCTTTTGGGGATATGTTGGTCAAAGGCAAGCTTTCTTTCAGCTATTATATGAGGAGACAGATATTTTAGTATATGTTTGTTGACATGAAAGAGTCATTAGACAGTGCAGGAAATAGAGAGGGAGAAACTGAAACTAGCCTGATTATATGGTAATGGGAAATTGAATTAAATTGGAAAATTGAGAGGGTGAAAATTATAATATAAGACCTTAAAAGCCAAGTGAAGGTTAAAACTTTTTATAAATTCTAGAATAGGAGCCTGGCATGATGAAAGTTAGTTCTTGGAATAGTTGGTCTGGTGATAGATAATATCACTGGGGATCCTCTTTCATTCATTCACTTGATAGACATTTCACTGAGAGCCTGCTATAGGCCGTGCACTGTGAGTTCTAGTGAGAGTGATCTGAAATGAGAGAGGAGACAGATCATGTAGGGCCCTGGGCCAAAATAAGGACTTCGGATTTTTATTTGAGTGTGACAGGGTGCCATTGGAGGTTTTAAGCTAAGGCACGGTGTGATCTAATTTGTGTTTGAGAAAGGTCACTCTGGGTGGTGTGTTGAGAATGGATGGCTGGGGATAAGCCTAGAAGTGGGGAGATGGGTTTGGAGACAACATAATGGCAGCTTGGGCTCACGTGGTGGCTGGAGAGATTGAAAGAAGTGGACACATTTGCTGTATGCCAAAAGGTAGAGTCAAGAAAACTTGCTGACGGGAGGTAGGAAGGAAAGAAAGACATCCAGAATGAGCCTCATTTGGAGAAATAAGCCTGAGTGCATAGTCGTACCATTTACTAACGTGGGGAAGATTTGGGAGAAGCAGGTTTGACTTGGGAAAGAAGTAGAAATCAAGAGTTCTGTTTGGTTATGTTAACTTTGAGGTATCCATATTCATCCAAGTGAAAATACTACATTGGAGTTGAATTCAGCATAGAGGAGAGGTAAGATTAAAGATTAAAAATGTTAGAGTTTTATTAGTTATCTATTGTTGGATAACAAATTATCCCAAAACTTAACATCTGTAAACACTAGTCATTTAATTATGTCACAGTTTCTATGGGTCGGGAATCTGGGAATAGCTTAGCTGAGTGGTTCTGGCTCAGAGATTCTCACCAGGCTGTAGTTAAGTTGTTGCTGGACTGCAATCACCTGAATCCCTGACTGGGGTAGGCCATTGTCAGCCTTAGTTCCTTCTCACGTAGGCCTCTCCACCAGGTGTCCTCACACCAGGGCAGCCAGAGTGAGTGGGCCCAGGGCGGAAGCTGTAGTCTGCTATGACCCAGTTTCAGAAGTGATATACCAGCATTTCTGCTTCTCTTGGTCACACAGACCAACCTGGTGCTTAGGCAGGGACCACTGGGGCCATCTTGGAGGCTGGCCACCTCAGGAGTCATTGTCGTATAGATTGTATTTAAAGCCAAGGGGCTGTTTGAGATTACCCAGAGAGAATGTGCAGATGGAGAAGAGAAGTCCCATGACCAAGCTCTGGGGCACATCAACATTTGTAGTTGAGGAACCACCAAAAAAGAGGGAAGGAGCAGCTGATGAGATAGGAGTGCAGAGTCACAGGAGACCAGAGAAGGGTGTGCTTGGCTGTGCCAAATGCTGAAGAAAATTCTAATAAAATGAGGATAAAAACAGTGACTATAGGATTTACCAACACTGATATTCTTATGGACAGTACTGGGGATGGAAACGTAATTGCTGTATGTTGAGGAGATGAAGAAGTAGAGGAGACAGCTTTTCCAGAATGTTCTGCTCTTAAGTGGATGGAAAAAAATGGAGCAATAGCAAGAGACAGATGTGGAGTCATGGGAGGAGTTTTTGTTGTTTCTAAATATGGATGTTTTTAAGGCGTGTTTATTAGCCTAAGGGGTTGGGGAACAATGAGTTGCAGGAAAGAGTGTAGATGAGAGCCTGTCTGAGTGGGTCAGAGGCGTGAGGGCTACAGCACAAGGTGCGAACAGGAAACAGACAAGGGTGAGAGGAGGGATGTGGGTTCAGGTAGGTTTGATGAGAAAGGTGAGAAAATTCCCACCTGAACACTTCTGCTTGCTTTATTATTCCTGAGAGAAGACCAACAACTAAGAGTGAGCAAAGACAAGGGGTAGAGGCACTTTGAGAACAGAGGAGAAGGTGTGAAGTGGTTGTTTTAGAGGAGAGAAAGCAAACACACTAGGGATTGCTGGCAGTGTTAAATACCATTTAAAATTTATGGTCATAAATTTAAGGTTTGACTTGTCAGCAAGTTTGTGTGCTTGCTTCTAGCAACATTCAGCAACTCTCCAAATATCAAAGGATATATACAGAGAAGGGCCTGGGACTCAAGAGGGTTAAAAGTCCATCTAGTCACCACCACATGCTGATGGTAGCTTATTTCTTTGAATAGTCTGACACCTCTGGAGCTGTTGTCTTTAGCCAGCTCAGTTTGTCTCCAGCCAGCACAACAGATATAAACAGACCTTCAAGGTGTGGAACCTTTCACTGAGGTGTATGTGATGCCTGTACAGGATTTTCCTTGTCTTCATTCTACTACTGCCAGTGTTCTCCATCCCTTACTTCTGCTTGGACTTCTCCTCTCAGTGCATTTTCTAGCTCAGCACCTCTTTATGGCATAGCCAGCATGGGATAGCTTGTCTTTGAAGGGTTGAATCTGTCTGCATGTTGTCCTTCTTTACCCTACCCGTCACTCCTTAATTTAGGGTTTAGGGGAGTAAGAAGGAAAAAAGAATCCATTGCTATATAATAAGCAAAAGCAATATATACTTAAATACAAATCTTTGAAACTATAATTTGTGTTTCTTTTGTACTTAAAATTCATGTACATATTAAATGTGGTTAAGTTATTAAATTGAGAAAGAAACTTTTTGTTTTCCTATCTGTTTTGTTTCTAAGCAAGACGGCATCATTTAATGACAGTTTTGTATAACAGTTAACAGAAACATTGGCATTTCAATATAGCTATAAAGTTATAAATACAGGAAAGATCACTACTATGTTTTTTATTTACTTTTATGAGTTTATTTTACAGAATATATTTGATTCTGATCTCCTTATGCTTAAGTTGGCCCCCTTGTAATAACTTTCACGAGTTAATTATACCTTAGGTTTATGTACAATACAGTCTTACAGACTGAACATTAATATGTATTTCTATTTTTTTATGATTATTTTCCTCTCTCAATAAATCTCATTTGGTTACTTAATTTACTGAGAAACACTGCACCCTGGAAAACCACGGGACACCACTGCTGTCTTGCCGATTGTGAGCTGTGTGACCTTGAGCACTCACAGGCTTTTCTCGCTCCTTGTCTGTGTTGACCACATGTGGAAAGCAGTCTTTGTTCTGTGCCCCTCTCTAGGGATATCGTGTTCCTCTTTTGTCTATTCTGTAAAACGAAGATATTAGAACAAGTTATCTTTTATTTCTAAAATTCTGTTCTTCTACATAGCCCTTTATATAGTTGCTTTCTTTAGGAACTTTTAAAAAAATCCATTATGCTTATTTTATTTTTTAAAAAAATAACCTGGTATTTTAAAATGCTCTATGGAGATAATTAGGCCCTCAATGAGGACAGTAAATCTATTAGGTGGAATATAGACATTAACATTAGCCTTCATTGCTAATTTGCAGTTCACAGGTTAATGGCCAAGTCATTCTGATAGACAGATAAGCTTTAGCACTTAGTGTTTTTAAAAACTAAACAGTGAAACTGAGAAGGCATTGTGATCGGCTATTATTTTTGAAGGTTGCAGTTCTCTATGTTGGTCAAGTTGTGGACAATATTCTGTTCAAGCTACACACAGAGGAGTCCCCAGCAGCTCTCTGATGCTGTGTATCCTAAAGTTGGCTTCCCAGATGCCACTTGAGAACACCACAGTGCAGCAGATGGTTTTTATGTTTCTTTCAAACCTGGCCTTATCTCATGACTGCAAAGGAGTAATTCAGAAGGTAAGTACTTAAACTCCCCTTCATACCATAAAAGAGGGACTCAGTAAAATAATCAATCCTTCCAGTCAAAGTTTACAACTCAGTTTTTAGAATTAATTTATTATCATTTCAAGACATTTATTTTAAAGGACTGTAAAAGGATTAAGAGGTTTACTTTGTTTAAAGCCCGTTGATAGATGATACATGAAAAGTGACAGAAGCTAGAATGTGATTGTGCCATTTCCTTTTAGTTTATCTTCTTATCTTTGGATTGTGTTTTATCTCTCTCAAAAATGGGAGTTTTAGAAAGATAGCTGTCTTACATTTATTGGAGATAATAAAAGTAATATATTTGGTCTTTAAACTGACCAAATTGAGTAGTAACAATTTCAGTTCAATTTACATTGACAAAATGGTTTATGAAATCACAGCCCCTTGTCCCCAGTTAGACTTTAACTTCCTTATGACATAATGAGCAATTTTTGAGGCTCTGGAACTCAAGTTCCAAAACTTAACTTTTTAATCACTGATTTTAACTTAGGATACTTTAAAAGGGATGTAATGAGTTAAATTCTAGTACACAGTGCACTTAGGTTCTATCTTTAGATGTATATAAACAGAATCCCTAATTGGAAAAATCCCTTAAAATTTGAATGTGATCAGATTATCTATTACTAGTATAGTAATTTCAGTGCTTTTGTTTCTTTTACTTGAAGGCTAAGATAAATCGCAAAAGTTGACAACATTCATAAGAATTAAGTCCCTTTTCCTCTACTGTTTCATCTCCCTGAACTCCCCACAAAAGATACTTGGAGCGTTATTACCAAATAAATAGGAGGCTCAGTCTTACTACGGAAATGAAAAGATCAGTCTTAGGAAGGGCATTGTCACTGTTGTGCTGGAGCCAGCTGCTACTGGCTCATGAGTGTCATCTTAAATTTTTAGGAATTTTACAGAAATTCCAGTTGATTTCATGTCGTTATCTTGAAGTCAGCCATGGTGAGAATATTCACACTATGTAATTTGTCAAACACTACACATCATTGGATCTTTCCTACCCTCACCAGAACCAGTTGTTTGTTTACCAGCACATGGCAGGATATTTCCCTCATATATATGTTCATATGCATGTCATATATATATATTTGAATATATTTCCTTCATATATGTATTCATATAAAAACATCACTTCCAAAATGAGAAGTTATCTTGGACTGGATGTCTGTGATTAGCATCCTTAGAAATGAGAGATTCTATGTATGTGAGAGCACAGAGCTGGGCAGTGCTTTCTACCACTTCCTTATAGAGGGTTAGTAGGAAGCAAAGTAGGAACCCCCAGTTGGAATGTAAGGGCTAATCTCGAATCTGGTATGTGACTTTGAGCTGGAGACCTATTCTCTTTAAGCCTCAGTTTCTTCATTTTTAGAAAAATTGGGTTAAATAAAACGATTTCTAAGGTATCTTCAAAACTCAGTCTGTGATTCTGGTGCTTTCCTGACTGAGACTGATCTTGCCATTTCCTTAATAAGACTGACCTTTCTACTTAGTTGGTAATAACACTCAAAGAATTTTTGGCGGTGAGGGGTTGGGGTTCCAGGAGATGAAACAGTAGAGGAAAAGGAGACTCAATTCTTATGAATGCTGTCAACTTTTGTGATTTATCTTAGCTTTCAAGTAAAAGAAATAAAAGCACTCAAATTACTGCTAGTAGTAAGTAATAGATAATCTGATCACATTCAGATTTTAAGAGAGTTTCCCAATTAAGGATTCTGTTTATACACATCTAAAGATAGAATCTAACTGCACTGTGTACTAGAATTTGTTTAACTCATTATATCCCTTTTAAAGTACCCTAAGTTAAAATGAGTGATAAGAAATCAAGTTTTGGAATTGGAGTCTCAGAGTACTCATAAAATTGTTTATTATGTGATAAAGAAGTTAAAGTCTAATTGAGGTGAAGAGACTATAATTTAATGAACCAAAATGTATTTAAGAATATTTTCGTGCAAGTGTGATCATTCTCCTTTTGGGGCAAATCAATCAAGTCCTTTTCCTCTGCTCTAATTAGGAAATGCCTGAGACTTCCTGTGTGGCATTAAGTAATCATGAGCATGGGCGCTGGCAGTTATACCTCTCCATTACTCATCTGTAGGCATTAGACAATGAATTAGTGCTGTTGTAAAATGCAGGCTCTAAAATGTGTCATTTTTTTCTCACCATGGTACATTTCTGCACATTCTATTAAATAGCTGGTGTAGGAAATTGTCTAAAAACATCTTTAGACTCAGCAAAAAGAAGGAATGCCCACAGTACATTTATATTTTAAAGCGCTGATATATATTTTATCACTGATGTCAGCCCCAAATTCAGCAAGGGTCGAATCTATAAAACCATCCATTTGGGTTGAGAAATGAGAAGTAGATGTGAGTGACAGCAAATGCAGTTCAAAGTGGGCGTGTAATTTTACAATTTCCTTGTTGCATGGGCGATGTTGCTAATGTTTCTTTAGCTCATTTCTTTCTCATAACTGAATCTTTTTACATAAAAATATTAAATTTATTGTATAAATTAAAGCCAACATCTTGATTTAGGTCCAAGAGAACCCAAGAGATAAGCTAGAGTAGATTATTAAACCCAGAAAATGTGTTATTTTATGTAGTCATAAAAATTAAGTTATTGCATTTCATTTCTAAAATGTCCAGCTGACTGTGGTTTCCATACTGTCAGGGGCTTCTACTTGATATAGTACTTTGATACTTTGCATATAGATTATTCTACACAATAATTTATTATCTTTTATATAGTTAAGGGTTTGGTGGAGTTTCATAGAAGGGGCTTTATTTGGAGGTCGAAATGACTCTTACAGTACAAGTAATAGAGCTTTCTCGTCTGTATGTTTAATAGAGTGACATACAGCCATGAGAAATTATTATTTGCAATGATAAGAAACTGAGGTAAAGTGAATATAAGATTTTTCCATAGACTTAATAAAAACACCACCACCACTTACAGCTATGGTGATTCAAAATACCCTCATCACTACCAGAGTTGCTAACTAGTATTCAATACTGATTTGGGTTTTGTTTCTTTTTCCTCCCCACAGGATAGTTTTTAATGAGTAGCAAAATTGCCAGACAAAAAGAGAAAACTCAAGAGTTCTGAAATAATCTCCAAACTGAATTATCAATCCTAAGTAATTAAGAGTTAACTGTAGTATACTTCATCATGAGGAAAGAATTAGTAGGAATTAAAATTTGGGCACTATTTTGTTCTTCTTACCTTTTTCACTTACACCTGGAAATAATATAGATGAAGTATTTAGAAGGTATTGGGAGAAAGAAAAAATTAAAGTTGGGGAATGGTATACCAGAATGCTACTTAATTGGTCACCAAGGGACTAGGAAAATAACAAAAAAGACTCAAGAAGAAAATAATATTCTCTCTTTTTACCCACAGAGTAACTTCTTACAGAACTTCCTATCTCTGACATTGCCAAAAGGAGGAAATAAACATCTTAGTAATCTGACTATTCTTTGGTTGAAGTTACTCCTAAATATATCGTTTGGAGAAGATGGGCAACAGATGATTCTGAGGCTTGATGGCTGTTTAGACTTACTTACGGAGATGAGCAAATACAAGCATAGGAGCAGCCCTTATATTCCTCTTCTTATTTTTCATAATATTTGCTTCAATCCTGCTAATAAGCCCAAGATCCTGGCTAACGGTAAGACTTCACACACACACACACACACACACACACACACACACACACACACAGACATTTATACATGTGGTTATTCATACACTATTCTATTCAGATTATAACACAAAATAATTTTATAAATAATTTGCCAGGTATTTATTAAGCACCCACTGTGTTCAAGGCACTGTGGGAGGCAGGAGCCATGGGAATGAATCAGGCGTGGCTCCAGCCTTCCATTAACTGCCTAGAGTCTCCTGAGGCTGGCAGCTCATGTCATTCCAGTGGACATACTGGATGCAGGAGGTAGCGAGGGAGGAGGAGCAGTGGGCATGGGCACTCTCTGACCTTACCTTCTGCTCCCTTTTCTCCTTGCTCTTCCTCTAACTCCCCCTTGCTGCCCACGTGTCTTTGAGCAAATGCTACCATGGCAGTGTAGCCTTTCCAGAATAATGCACTAAAATCGTAACCCTCAACCCCTTTTTTCTGCCCCCTCTTTCCTCCCACTCACTCTCTTCTTTCCCTGTTTTATTTTTCTCCAAAGTGTTAATCACCATCTGATACACTTGTGTTTTCTGTGTATGTCTGTCTGTTCCTAGTCTTCCCACACTAGAACATAAGCTGTTATGAGATCATGATGGTTTTGTCTGTTTTGTTTATGTTTATCTGTAGTACCTAGAATTGTGCCTGCAGCTAGTGAGCACTAACAAATATTTGATGATTGGGAGAGATCCTGAGCAGGAAGGAGAGTTCAGGGTACAAGATCAAAAGGCTAAATTAGCCTTACGGAGACTTCATTCTCTGAGTTGTAGGACAGATGGAGCAAGGTTGGTGAGGATTCAGAAAAATTTTGAAGCAAAAAGAGAGAATTGGAAAGATCTTTTTGGCAACCATGTGCTATCTGTCTGAGGAATGTGTGAATTTCATGAGCAGAGAGTTTTATAAGGAGACATATAAATGGGAAAAAAAACAAAACAGAGGTGGGCTGTAGACTGCGCACACCTGGTCTTGAATGCAGGCTCTGTGTGCTCTCACTCCAGCGTCACCTGCGGCAGCTTCTCTGAGCCCAAGTTTTTCATCTGTAAAACAATCCCACTTTTCTTGGTTTTGGTAAGAATCAGTTTATAAACACGCATAAAGTTCGTAGCACCATTTCAGGCACATGGTAAATGTTTAAAATCTATTAATTCTCTTTTCCTTTCATGATTTTCACTTACTCTTTTCACAGAGGCTTTTTTTCTATGAAACACAGAGTTTTCTAAGTGTATAAGAATGAGTCTCTTTACATTTTGCTGTGTATATAGTTCTGATAATTATTAAATTGATAGAATTATTATATAGAAAGATTTTAAAAGTTCAATGAGTTTTTAACTTATGTAAATTAACTATGGATTTGTACTCTGCGTTCCCGTAGCTCCTTCCGTGACACAGTGCTCGCCAGTGCTGGGGAGTGTACAACACTGCTTTTATTGTCATCCTCTTCCACTGTCTCTGCTTCGGTCCTCACATTTCTGAAGTGAGGATAATAAGCAATGGGATAGTAGGGGAAGCGCCTGTTACCATTCTTGGTATATAGTAGCTACTCAGTAGTATCTGATATTATTTATTCACCTTTCTCAGAATAAATGTTTTCTTTTGGTACTACTTACTGCAATTTTATTACTGAGAAAGTTGGAAAAAGGACAAGCTTTTAGGGAACTGAAGAAGTCTGCATTTTCTACTTCTAAATCCCTCTGGATTTATTTTTAGCATTGCCTATAGTCAGCAGTGCTTTCTTTCCCTCATTGGCTTAAAGCAGATGGACAAATTCTGGTCAGAAGGAGCTTCCCCAACCCCAGAGATCAGTGGGCTTTTAGGGCAGCGATAAGATAAGAGATAACAGCCATGCAGTTTCTGTATGGAACTGTTCAGGGGGTGGCACAGTCTGTGCTTCCCTTTCCACTTGGGGATCCAGAGAGAAGGCCTTAGCAGAGTCAGCTTAAAACTCCCAGGTAAGGCTGCATGCCTCTGGTCAGTAGCACCCAAACATCTGGTTTGGATGGTCAGGAGTGGAGTGTGCAGCGAGGCTTGACCTTGCTGTTAAAAATAGATCCAAAGCACTCTTGTTTCTGGTAATGTCAGGCAAAGTCTCCTCTGAAAACAACAAAAACATGCTGGGTAAGCTATATTAAAATTCATCTCAAAATAATCAAAGAACTGAAAAGATGATAGGAAACTTCCTGGTCATTTTTGATTGAAAACTTGTATCCAATAAAGTAAGAAGTATATAGAAAACTCTTTTGCCCCAAGGGTATTTGCCAATGTCATATGCTTGGCTTTTGTTAGGGAGTATCAAGGGGTGAGAAAAGAGAAGTCAAGGTGGGACTCATATCGGCTAACCTCTTGTATTAAACTAGACCACCAAAGAACCATCCTCTTAAAAGAAGGATGAATCACAAGTAAATTGCTCCCCCAATCCTCATCCAGGCAACTCTATAGAAAAGAAAAAGAAAATAAGAGAATGCACACCACAGACTGCCTCTCACAGGGCTCTGCACTCAAGAAATAGTCTAAGTGGGCCGTGAACATGGTTCGAGGTGATCCTTGATTGATAGTGCCTCTGGGTGCTCATTAGAAGCAACCTGCATCTGGTGGATGAAAGACAAATTCATACTAGGCCCCAGGGAACCTCCTCAAACAATCTTTCAAAAGCATTAACCAGTGCAAAGTTAAAGATAACCAAGCACATTAGGAGAAACATGGCAACATGAAGTAAGAGCCAACAGAGAAAAATAATACAAGCTTCTCTGCCCAGATTTTAAATATTGGAATTATAATACACAGATTTAAAAATAACTTTATACCATATTTAGATGCATAAATGACAAGTTTGAAACTATTTTCTGGGAATGAGAAACTGACAAGTTCAAAGATTTGAAAAGAACCAGATAGAACTTCTAGAACTTTGCTGTGCAATATGATAATCAGCCACACATAGCTATTTAAATTTAAACTAATTAAAGTTAAATATTCAAGTTGCCAGTCACGTTAGCTACATGTGGCTAGTGGCTGTCTTATTAGACAGCACAGATAGAAATATTTCCATTATTGTAGGAAGTTGTATTGGACAACACTATTCTAGAACTCCAATAGCCAAAATTAAAAACTTAGTATAGATGTCTGGCAGCAAATTAGGTATAACAGAAGAGAGAATTCAGGAATTAGAAGATATATTAGAAAAATATTACTCAGAATGCATCAGAGAGCTAAAAAGATGAGAAAGGGATAAAAGAATAAAAGTACATATGGCAGATACATTGAGACCTTCTTATTGTATGTTTAATGAAGTGTCCTAGAAGGAGAATGGGAAAGGAAATATTTGAAGAGATGGTAGCTGAAAAGTTTAAGAACTGTTCTAAGACACTAGTAAATTGATTCCAGAGACTTAGGTAATTCTAAGTAGATAAATAAAAATAAATTCATTCCTATACATCATAGTGAATCTGCAGAAAACCAAAGAAGAAAAGATGAAATGGACACTTTCCCTGAAGAAAGTAACTTAGAAAAATTTCTTCAAGAAGAAATAGCCAAAAAATCCATTAACTATGGAAGACATTGAGTTAGTCAGAAATGTAAGTAACTACATAGAAAACCCTAGGTCCAGATGGCTTTACCAGTGAGTTCTACCAAACATTTAAGCAAAATGTAATTCAAAACATACACAAAGTTCCAGAGAGTAGAAAAAAAGAAATGGTTACTCATTTTGTGAAGCTAGCATAACCTTGTTAGCAAAACCTGACAAGGACAAAGAATGTTCTGGTAAATGTTTACTGGCTCTCAGAGGGTGAAGGGTGTGGAATATATATTGAATATATAGAAATTTTATTGTATATATATTTTATGTACATATGCAAATTTAACTGGTATAAACGATGTGTGTAGTACAATAAGTGATACTCTTTATTAGAAATTCTGTATGGCCAGTTGATTCTCACATAATACTTTGATTTTTGCTGAACTCTTGTATCCATAGCCAATTTATGGTTGCCATTCAGTCATATGACAAATGGAATTGCAACTCAATCTCCTCTTTTCCCGGTGAATTTATTGTCATTAAATCTGATAATAACATACTGTTAAAACTATTTCTCACCACTATGCAGAATATATTCGTAAAACTGGAACCTCTTTCAGCTTTACCGCTAAATCTCTTTGATTTGTAACTTTTGTTGATTTTCATGGTGTTAATACTCTCACTATAATTGATAACTCACTATAACTACTAACATGACATCTCTAAACTTAAATCAATTATATTAAGAAGAAAGGTAATAAATATTCAAAACACATCATTTTCTAATTATTTAACTACATTTTACTATTATCTATTCTCTTAAGGTTATTTATATATTTATATGGGAGTTCATACCTATTTGTTAAACTCACATATGCTTTATGTGCTTTTTTGTTATATACATGTTATATTTCACAATAAAATATGTTTTTTAAAAAAATTGATCCACTTTCATTATCGGAAGGGGCTACTACATTAATTGACCCTATATATGTACTTTATTAAAAATTTTTAATAGATAGTAACTGATTGAAGGAGTTATGATATAAACTGAAATCATAGCAGTTATATATTCTCTTTGGGACAATATATAAAGACATTGCTTCATGCTACTCACATGGAACACAAAAAATTACCCTTCCATTTGATAATGTACCCTAATGAGTATCAGCTGGCATCCATAACCTTATATGATAAATTACATCTGATAACTTTATATGGCCTAGTTATGGATAGGTTATGATACAGGAAAATGAAAAGGCACCAGAAAATGAAGTGGCACAATAGAATGTACTGAGATATTCTATAGTTACATTCTTGTATTTTGTAATATCCTGTTTGATAATGCAGATGAAGTGTTCAGGCAGTAGGGGGCAGTGTGGTAGAAAAATTACTGCACCCACCTTACACATTGCACAATGCAGGTTCACTTTATGAAGCAGTGTGTGTGTGTGTGTGTGTGTGTGTGTGTGTATGTGTGAAATATTTAAAATCCCTTAAAACTTAAAATCCAAATAGAATCATTTAAACAGAATTTTTAACTATGGAATCTTTGACCCAACTAGTGTTTATTATTCCCCTAAAATATACTAGCACTGTGGTTGGAATATTACCAGTGAGCAGACACAGACCTTGCCCTTGAACAAGTGACAGTTTGAATAAATGCATTCCTGGGGGTGGAAGTGCTAATGTACATATAGAGCAAGTTCCCAGTAACATGTTCACCCTTAAGGATACAACGTATTTTTAAAATCACAATTTAGAGGATCATTTCAAAAAATTTAATGATATATAAAAATGAAATAGGTTCAAATATTGTTCTGAAATACCCTGACAATTTCCTTGGAACTAGCTCTGAATCTTAACTTAAAATGAATACACTGGTGCAGATAATTAGTAAGTCTTGGTTTCGTACTCTGGCTAGTTTTGCCAAAAGTGCGTATCTTGTGTGTTGATATGTTTTAATCACTTTTTCCTCTGACACATATGCAAATTTCTCTAAAATATTGAGACCTTTTTAAAAAGGATTAACCAGTATGGTATTTCTCGATTATTGTTTTATATAATAGCCCATGTTATTGATGTTTGTAGAATAGTCTTTATGATTTCTCATGAAAGCAGATCTGTTTTCTTGCTCACCAAAATGTTAGCTACAGTTGAATAACTCATTAATATAACTCATTGTGTACTTATTTTTGTACTCTTTAAATGAACGTGCCTTTGTTGAATTCAGGCCAAAAAATTAGGCAACTTCAGCTTACCGTTCTATGCTTATCATGAAAACAATGTTTTGAGGTTGTCCTCCCATATACCACGTGATATAAGAGATTGATTTTGCCATATTCTAGTGATACCGACTTCGTATATGTATTCTAATGGGAGAAAAAGAGGGTATCTGACTACTTCAATATAAGAATACAGTGTAACATCTCAGACTAAACTTTTTTAAAAATGTGTTTATTTTTAGAAAAAGTCATTACTGTGCTAGCTGGCTGCCTGGAAAGTGAGAATCAGAATGCTCAGAGGATTGGAGCAGCTGCACTTTGGGCTCTGATTTACAATTACCAGAAGGTCAGTTTTTAAAATCATTGTTATACCTGTGAAGCAAACCACCAGGCCTCTTAGAATGCATCCAAGGATATCAGAAGAGTAATAGCCAAAAAAAAAAATGAAGTCAAAGACTGGTATTCCCTCATTCATTCATACAATTGGTAATCCGTCAGTTGAAATGTTTTCATCTAATCATTTCAACAGGATGTCTCAGTTCAGATGAGTATCTCTGTTTTAAATTTTTCCTGTTATTTAAATTGATTTGCCATATTGTTGCAATTTTAGTATAGATTGTTTCTTCTAAAAGATGTGTCAAGAAAAAATACATCTTGAAGAAAATTGAATAATAAAATTTTATCCAAATTGTATGATTCCCCTTTCTCTGGTATATATCATTGCTGAGTTTTTAAATCAGCTCAGTTCTGGTAAGACTGCGGTACAGGGCCTTTACCCAGAGAAAACAACAGGCAGGGTTGGTACTTGTGTCTACTCTCTGCCTTTTATTGCAGATGTCTAAGTCCTGAGAGGAATACCCGCAAGTATCTAGTGATTAAATAGTAGCCAAATGACAGTGTTAGGATAGACAGCCATTTCGGAATGGTGTTCTCTCAGCCGGCTGTCCCTGCCGGTGCTGGTTGTTCTTGCCAGAGTTACATACACAGACAGAGGCTGCTGCTGTCATTTTCACCTGGGTATCCCGGAGTTTAGCATAGGATTTGGCACTTTGTATTCACTCAATAAATATTTGTTGACCAAGTGGCCAACTGCTAATATTTGATATACTTGACCTGAAATTTGAGGTGTGAGGGAATATGAAATACTGAAACTAAGGTTGACTAGTTTAAAATGGCAAATCAAGATTAGGGGAGAAGGAGCAAAATGGAAGGGAAGAAAGAACATGGAGCAGCAGAGAAAGAATCAAATTAGAAGGAGGATACGGGTGAGACTTCAGAATGTGTAGGGGGATTGGCACAATAGGATGTACTAAGATATTCTATAGTTACATTATTTTATTTTGTAATATCCTGTTTAATACTGTAGTTAGCATTGGGCAGAATTAGTATTGTGGTATCCAGAGCCTTAACACATGGCAATAAATCTAATTAATGTATTGTTCTATATTATCTCTAGGCAAAAACAACTTTGAAAAATTCTTCCATCAAAAGAAGAGTAGATGAAGCATATTCCCTAGCAAAGAAAAGTAAGTTTCAATATTAACACATTAACTGCCATGTGAGTTGTATTTAACTCATGCTAGTTTTGAGCCTGGGGCCTTGTGAAGCATATGTAGCTCACACATCTCTTTACCTTGGGAGCCACAGAGGTATCTTTCAAGTTGTACATAACTCATGCACAGAAAAATAAAAAATAACAAATTTTTCATTAAATTAGAAGGATCGTTTTATTTTTGAAGTTTTTATTCTATTTTCGTAATAAAACACGGTGGCCCCAAGGGAAAAAGTTTTCCTGTGTGTCAGTCAGCGTGTTAAAGAGATTATAGTTAAGCTTGGAAGCTATTAAGTGAATTCTCTGATTAATGAGATATTTAGACTGGTGACAGAAAAATGACGGTTTTCTATACTATTTTACTAGGATTTGAGGAGCTATTTTGTCAAAGCATTGTAAAATGTGCCAGTATTTGGTCTGTGCTTTTCATTATATCATTTTTTAAAAATAATAAAATGGTCTGCTAGAATAGATAAATAGTTTCTTAAAATACATCTGTGATCTTTCTCCAAGTCATTTTATTCTTATACTAAATTTCCTTTGCCAGTGGCAACTACTATGCTAAAGTGTGTTCTTAGGTGATAAGAACTGGGCCCAATTAGAATTAACCTTGAACAGAAAATTTTGATCTAACATCAGGGAGTTGAATTACAGTCTTCCGAGAATAGATCCCATTGCCCCTCTTTCTGTGTCCTTCTGTGATCTGGTCATCATACTAAAGAGGGTTTTCTTTTCAGAGTGCATTATTCATTTTAAGTGACACCAATTTTCAGTGAGCATTATTTTCTTAACATTTTTTTATGCTAAGACACTGAACTGTGTCTTTCCTGTACTGTAATAGATCCATTGGTTATTAATTTGTGTTTTTATAGTCTGATTTTTTTAAAAGCAGGGGAGGTTTTGGTTTTTTTTAACTGTGACCGTGAATTTCTGGAGCTAGTGAATAACTGAGTTACATTACAGTTTATCCTTTAGGAGGGATGGTACATAAAAGAGTTATGGCATTCATTTAGGATTATGGTTAATGGTACCCATCATGGAGGCATATTTTTTTTAATACTCTTTGGGTAAACCATTAGTAAGAAAATAAATTTTGTAACTTTAATTTTTTTAAATGTAAAATTTTCTTAGAATGCTATTACATCAAGAACTTAAATAGAGCTTTAAATTATACATAAATCCTATTGATACATGTTTGTGTGTGTATGTTCAGTCTTAAGTGTAGTACTAAGTTTAATAAACTGGTATGTCCACATTCTTGCTTTTCTATCTCAGCTTTCCCAAACTCAGAAGAAAACTTTCTAAATGCCTATTATTTGAAATGTCTTGAAAACCTCGTGCAGCTCCTTAACTCTTCCTGAGTGCCCGATGCTGCACCCTGAAGCTGACAGCCACCAACAGGGAAGCTAAACCTGAAGCCAGCTTTGTGTAGCAACTGTTACCTGAAGACTTGCTAACTCTCTGCAAGGTGTTAACCCCCCTCTTCCGTACAAGAAGTAGAACTGGTGACACCGCAATGCTGTGCATACACAGCAGCTCTTCTGAAGTAATAGCAGCTGACAAAAGGTGATGGAAAAAGGCATAGAAAGTTCTGCGATCGTAAATATTTTTACCCTTTTCATATGCAATTTCTTATTTAACACTTATTTAATAAAACACAATATTTTTAGAAACAAAAATTGACTAATAATTGCTGCTTGCAGACTTTTATCTGTCTCATGAATGTTAATTTTAGGAATTGAAAGAAGGTATTATGTTCTGGTTTTTTGTTTTTTTTTTAATTTTTGACATAAAATTTTGGCTTCTGTTGATACAAATCCTTATTTCTCAATAAGGATTTATATTGTTCAGAGCATATACACTGGTAAAGGGATATATGTAGGTAAGTATGTTATTTTGTGAGTAGCTTTCTTATACAAGTTTTAGTGATAACTTTTCTAAATGGCTTATAAATCAGTGATATTTTTAATTTTACTTTTTAGCTTCTGAAAAACTGTGTAATAAAGAAGGAAGAAATACAGTTGTGGTCATATAGACCTGGGTTCAAATTCTAGCTCAGCCCAAGACATCATGAAGAATAAAACTGTGAAAAATGCAGGAGAAACCAGCTCTGTAGAATAGTCTATTATATAATCTGCAACTAGTCTATAGTTTTGAACTCACTACTTAAAACAAAATCAATTCAAGTACTAATTATTTTCAGCTATTTCCCAACACTTTTGAAAGTAAGAAGAGAAAACTGTATCTAAGAAAAATAAAAGGTGCAATGTGTGTGTATATATATGTGTAGTATACATATATAGATATATGTGACATATATGTATGCACGCATACATACAGATATACACACTCTTTTAGAAAAATGTTTCAGGCAAATTTTTTCCAACTGACTTATGGTTAAATAGAAAAGAAAAAAATTCATACTTTTTATTAAGTGCTGTTAGCAAATTTCTAACAGCAATATAATGAAATAAGCCATGTGATAGTATTTAAGCTAAAAGTAGGAAGAGAAAATATATGTTAAGTATCCAAATAGAAGCAAATAGGTTTGTAATATAAAGGAATTATTATGATTAGACATCTGAAAAATGAATCCAGGAAGCCCAGAAATTTCTGAGCAGTCTAAGTTAATTTGAAGTAATAGACATTCCAGTATTCTGGAAAACTCACCAATTCTAACAGTGGGAATGTTAGGAATTATTTCTCCCTTTTCTCTTGGTTTCTTATGTTCTATGCTATTTTTTTGGTATTTCCTTGTAAGCCCTCACTGATGAATAAATGATTTCTTTATAACTCCCATTTAAAGAGTTCTTTCCATGTCCCAGACACTATTCTCAGAACTTATTATTTAATCTATCTTCCTCTGTAGAGTACTACTATGATCCTTATGTTAGAGGTTAATAAATGGAGGCTCAGTGGTTAGGTAATGTGCTCATTGTCTGTGGCTGTTAAATAGTGAAGTTGAGATTGGAACCCAGAATAACTGCGATTAAGCCTGAATTTTTTTTTTTTTTTTTTAACTGTGGTGCTATGCTGCCTCTTTTTCAGCCCCCATTGAAATATCTGTTTCTGTGTTTGGATCTTATAGATAAACCACCATTTTTCTACAAAAATCTGGTCTCTTCAGGGAAATGACCCTATCCTTTATGGGTCATTGATTGGTTTATTCACATATCAGAGCATGTGGTGCCTCATCTTTTTGGAACCAGGAAGAATTGTAACTGATTATTTTCCCTAGCAGTTTACAGTAGTCCCAGAGGTGGAGATTTGTAACCTAGTAGTCAGAACCATCCAGGAATGCTACCTGCTGAAACCCAGGAGGACTGCAGACTGTGGAAAAAGGGGAGGGGTAATGACTTCAGGAAAATTTGCACTCGTGTCAGTTGGCATCTGGCAATGTGAACCTCAGGAGCATGCAGCAGTCCACATCCTGGACAACGGTCCTTCCCATCTAAGTCTCTTGAGATTATGTCCCGTCAACCAGTGGGGAAGATGTGTAAGCAGGAAGCCCTGAGGTGACTGATCCACTATGTCAGCAGCTGCCTTGCCTCTACCTTGGGGACCACCAACATCGGAATCCCCTGGGATGCTTGTTGAAATGCAGATTCCTGGGTCCACTGAACCAGGCCTGTGTCCAGAAGAATTTTTAGCAAACTCCCTAGGTTCTGCCCACAATTTGAGAACGACTGATCAATTCCCCCGATTTTACAGAAAATTGCCTAGAACACGAAAATGAGTTAATATTACTTAACTACTTAGGAATGAAATCGGGGCTTGAATCTGGGTCTCTCGAATGCAAATCAAGTGTTCTTTCTTTCACCCATGCCCCAGTTTATGCAAAGATCCAGAAAATAGGTGGAGGGAACTAGTTCATACCTCATGGTCTCCAATTTTTTCCATTTCCTAGCATTTTTGGTTGGTTGGGTTAGTGTGTGTTTGTGTGCTATGGAAGCACATAAAGACTGTGCTATGTTAAACATAAAATACAGACATTGATACTGAAGCTTCTAGATTTAAGACATTGAGCAGTTTGGGAAAGGAGGCAGCCATTTGTTTTGAAAACAGGAAACTAGTAGGAGAATAGAGTTAGCAGACCTTAGCAAGAGCTTTTGCACTCTTTCTAAAAGCACTTTCAGAAATGAATAGCTGGTTGTACTTCTCTTTGGTCTTCTGCAGAGAATGAAGTGAAAAGTAGAATTTTGAGTATTTAACTCCAGGTCACCAGTTTTACTTTGTAGTGTTAAATATGCTCATCATCTGTGGTAATTTTCCATCATCAGTCTTTGGGGCTGCACTTTATTCCCCATTTCCTGAGGTTGCTAAGGTCCCAAGTCTGCTGCTTGACCCATGATGTTCCTCAGATTTGGCAGAATGATGGGTAAGAATAATGATTAACATCCCTGTTTTTGCCGTACCAGGTCTGCCTGCAGTTATCCCAGTGAATGAGAGAGCCTAATAGAGTGTTAAGAGTAGAGGGCTCTGGAGCCTGTGGACCTGGAATCAACCCTGGCCTCACCACTGCAACTTGTGGGGACCCTGGAACAGGCTCAAGTTTCTGTTTCTTCAGATATAGCCGGGGATAAGGATACCTACCTTGTATATTTGGTGAGAGGACTGAGCATTTAACACAGTGCCTGGTACAGAGTTGTCCCTTAGATGTTATCAATGATTAATTGTTGTAAAATTCTCAAAAGATCTCTTTAACTAAAACTAAATCTTTTGTATCCTTGCAAACCTTCTCTCCCTTTGGGGAGGGGATGTGCTGGGAAGCGAGTTAGCCTGTGAAAACCGAGGTTGCAGCATTCTGAAAGGATCGTTGGCTCCTGGTAGAGATGCGAGCCAACAGTCCTGAGATGATTGATTGTACATTCACTTGGCAAATTGTTATTGGGAACCTAAGTCTTGCAAAGCACTGCATACAGGTATTAAACACACCTGGGGATTTGGTAACATTTTCATCTTCTGCTGGGCAGGTTGTCTTGATTGAGTGTTAGGTGGCAAAATACTGCTCTTTCTCCATTTGACTTGTGAAAATGGAAAATTCAAAAAATTATAACGTCAGTAGCCAAAAGAAAATCTTAGCCTAAAGAATCCATCAGTTTGGGAAAAGCCATTTTCTTCTTTCTACCTGTTGACCTATTGTTCTCCAAAGAGTAGGGGAAATGGATAATAAAATGCTATTGTTTTTGGGGAGCTTAGAGTTTATTCTTCCTAACTTGAGTTATTCCTCATAGGAAACTCCTTACACAACTCAAGTAATAAGTCATCTGGAACAGAGTGAAATTATGTTGGGCCTTGAGGCTCAGGATGTACGAAAAGACTATGCCAAGACCCCGGGAATTCTGAGATTTGGCAGCAAACACGCACAAGGAGCTCAGTGTGATCTTGTTTTAAATGATCCCAACAATGTTCATCTTTGTGTTTTGTTTGCTTCTTCTGTGTTTGAGAAATCTGCTTCAGAAAAAAAGAATCTCTTTTAGAACCATATTTTACGAAAGATCCATATGGTAACACTCAATAATTTTCTCTTTAATTTTGCATGAAAACCAAGAGAAAAATATGTTTGTTAATATAGATTCCAAGGAAAAATTCTTACATGCATTTCTCCTTTTTCTTTTCTTTTTTTTTTTTTTGAGACAGAGTCTCACTCTGTCGCTTGGGCTAGAGTGCTGTGGCATCAGCCTAGCTCACAGCAACCTCAAACTCTTGGACTCAATTGATCCTCATGCCTTAGCCTCCTGAGCAGCTGGCACTACAGGCATGCGCCACCACACCTCCCTAAGTTTTTCTATTTTTTTTTTTAGTTGCTTGGCTAATTTTTTCTCTATTTTTTAGTAGAGGTGGGGTCTCGCACTTGCTCAGGCTGGTCTTCAACTACTGACCTGAAACAATCCTTTCGCCTCAGCCTCCCAGGTTGCTAGGATTACAGGCATGAGCCACAGCACCCGGCCCATTTCTCCTTTTTCAATAGCATCTTTACCTGTGGTTATGCCTTTGCCGATGGCTGTGCCTTTGGAGTATCCACGTCCCTTTTGGGTTCATCTGGACAGCAATACCTGGCAATCTGGTAGCAGATTGCTTGCACTTCTTTGTAAATTCTGAAAACATTATTTCTTCAAATACTTTAGTAGAACGTTTTTTCTTTGGCTTACCATGGAAAGAAACAGATTATAAAATGGGAAGTTAATTTTTAATTGTTTTCTGGTCATATTCATAAAGACTGGAATGCAAACAATCAGTTTATGGGCATAAATACCTGATTTAAAGTTACCTTCTGTATCTGCTAGGAAAAGCCACAATTTCATGAAGAGAAAGTCCATGATAATAATAATTTCAGTAAGAGAGGAATTTCTTTTTTTTTTTTTTCCTGTCCCCAGCCCCCTATCCCCCATTCAGGAAACCCACAGTTAGGCAGTCCATAGCTAACAGTGTCCTCAGGGACTCAAGTGCCTCTTTCTGGTCTCTTGTCTTTGCACACTTCCTTCATAGGTTACCGCAGGACGTCAGGAAGGAGAAAGGTAGAAAAGGACTTCCCCAGCTGTCTGTTGCCCTTTTAAGGATCCTTCCCAAAAGACTGGTCCAACAACTTGCGCTGACATCTTGGACAAGACAGCACATGGTCATTCATAGCTGCAAGGGAGGCCGAGAGCTGCAGTCCCTTCCTGGGGCCACAC